AAATGATATATTCAAGAAAGTACCCCCGAATCAAACCAAATCAAATCTTAAAATCATTACAACCCTCATTAAAGCCAGCAATAGAGACATTATAATTTCGACCATTCCCCCCACCCTCAACAGAAACCCACAACATCAAAACCAAATCAAACAAATCAATGTGTTTATACAATCGTTACATAATCCGCCCAGAGTACGAGTGTTACAATTTCATAAACAATTCCAACCGTTAACTACAATAAAGAAGAATGAATACTTCAAACACACTTATAAAAACGGCAGAAGAGATATTGTCCATCTGTCGAGAGAGGGTTATCGCCTGCTTATCGCATCACTGACAACAATGTTATCGCCGCTCTCTGTCTAACCATTGTTGAGCGCCCGCCCCACCCTCCCCAGCTGACAGCACTACTATCGGACCATTGTTGGGTCACTGTGCTACTGATCCACTAGAGCCAATACACCTGTGCCACTACGCTGCCGACCAACAACAATGTACGAGCCCAGCTGTTCACCACCTCGGACAACACGCTCTGCTGATTGCCACATGTGGTAAATCATAGTGTCTATTCTGTGCGCGGGATGCCTTTGTGTGTTTAATGAGGAAATGATCAGTTGGTGTCCTTGTCATAAAATAGATCATTGTAATAGTTTAGTATTGTTGTTACCATTATTTAAATTGTTGTTGCCTGATTGTTGTCGTTATTGTTGATTGTAAATTGTAATTGTGTTCATGTGTATCGTCGTGGTCCACCGGCTAGGCCAAAAATGCTCCGAAGTAGTACGATAGGTTTGACTGTCCTGGGCCGATCACGGATCATTTTTTTTCTGCTAGGGGGCATTTTGTACCGATTTTGTTGTAAAAGGCAACAAATCAATACAGGTTAATGCGAAGAACAGTCAGCTGGTTTCAACAATAGATCAGTATAGACCAGAATGCACCACGCACTAAAGACGGAGAGGGGATAAGGTTTAGCCGGGCGGCCATCTGTTTAAATCAGTACTCAGTCCTTACCCAAGTCTCATCGTAGCTAGTTCGGTAAAGTTGTTTATCGTTCGTGGAAATTAAATTCATTTCGCGGCGTTTGGTCGGCCAATCTTAAATTTCCTTAAAGTCGTTCAGCCTATATCCCTAAGGGATATAATTGCCTCGCGATCGGAAATTAGAATCAGTGTTTTTGTCAAAAAGTGCAAAAGTTCGTTACCGGCCAAACGCAGTCCGCCATTTGAAAATTTCTCAAACGATTCACGAGTTCAATTGATCGCGTGTTGTAGTATACCGGCTAGTTACGTTTTCCCATCCTTTCCCCTTTGTGTTATATTTGTGGACGTCCAAACTGTAAGTAATTTTGTGTATTTATTTGTTAAATTGAGATTTTCAGTGAGTCGCACTTTGGTAAATTTTCCTGTCTTGTTTTGTCAATTCATGTAGAATAAGCACATGTTCATAGGTTCGATCACAATTTGTTGATTTTTAAATCCATTCATATTGTTGCAATCCGCTTTATTTATTAGACTGTGATATTTCTATAGTATTAAGAATAAATATATGAAAATGTTTTTATAGGGTAATTCAGAGTTGCTTTGTAATATTTTTATATAGTATTTGAATTTTGCACAGAGTCATTATTAAAAGTACAATTCGTTACAGAGTGTCACAATCAGCATTTTAATTTGGGGGAATCATTTAATATCAAAGGAGGGATTAGGTTGCTGGTTCGGCTGAATCGGGAAGTGTTATCGGAGGCTGTGCCAGTTTGCATATAGACGAACCGCCAAAGTGCCAAATTAGCTATAAAACAATAAGCAACGTTCCAGTAAATATTATTACGATTAAACGCAATACTGTTTAATCAGTTGACCTTCGAGAATCGACCTTCATATTTACATCGTTGGCCAACGAACAGGACTTGTTTGGCACTGGTCGTCTCAAATTAAATTAAATACCACTCCTCCGTTGACACCTTCGAGATCGGTGTGAAACCGCGCCAAATATTCCCCTTTGAATAAATCCGTTCAACATTCTCAGACAGATCAATTCCGTCTGATTGTGTCACTCAAGGTCATATTTTTATATTGCACAACACAATCAGAAACTGTCAAACTGGAATCGTTGTAAATCTTAAATAATGCTTAATACATCAAATTGTACTCACTTTTAGTTCTCAATAACCTGGTAGTTCTTTATTATATGCTATAGTATCAGATTGGTAAATAAAAGGTAATTCAGTAAATAATAGGCCACTACAAAAGATTCACCTTTTAAGTGCAACACTAAACACTAGTGTAGTAGTGAGCAAGTAAATTCGGTGTAGAATTAAGACTGGTAAATTGCTCTCATTAAAGGTATTACTTTTTTGGAAGAACTACAAACAGTGCCAAGGGCGTCCCCTAAGGACCTTTTGGGAATATTTATATTTTGCAGGGCCCACTCATATTTTTTCAATAACATCAAGCTTCCACTGCCAAAAAGCTCTGTCTGATATTTTTATTTTCTGGAGTTCTTCCAACCCAGGGGCAACCAACATTTGTAAAGATTCATTTGAGAGCATTGCAAGGAGCAAATATATTTAAATACAATATTTAAATATATAAAAGTAGTAGGAGGGAGTTGTTTTTATTTTTCTTTACAGGAGAAACGTCCAAACAAAATTTAGTTACAGTTTTTAAACTAAAAAAAGGCTATAAGAATCATGCTATACTTAGACAAACACATAACTGTGAAAGATAAATTCTCAAAACAACATATATTTTGACTGTCTAGTGTTATGTGTGTTAAAAATCAACTACACAGTTTGGTTATAATAAAAAATGTCCATTCATATGCGATGACACTAGAAATGACACTAGAAATAAGAATAATATAAATTACCAAACATAATCTTAGCTTTTTTAAAAAAAAGGGAGCCATTATGAGATCAAAATTTTTAAACCATTTTCCTACAAAATTAAAAAGTAAAATAAACCAAAATAATTTCAAAAATCTAGTTAAGAATCATAAAAAGAGTTATTATTCATTTGAAGAGTTTTTTTCAATTTAAAAATATACTAAGGTAGGTACAGAAAAGTATAAATAAAAATGTATAAAAATTAGTTATAGTCTGACACTATTCATGTATGTACATATATGAATAAAGAATTTTGATTCCGATTCTGATTTAGGACAAAACACCTGTATCATGTAATGTTTTGGTACCTTTCGTTCTATTCTATTATTTCCTAAACTCTGATTTTCTAAACTCTTCCCATCTCCAGAAATCCCCAATAAACATTAATAATAATTGTATCCAAGCAACAACAATTCAAACTTATTCAAACCAAAATTAAAATTTACCATGTCTAAACAAGAAAAGAAGGCGAATCTCTGCGGCAAATGGAAGACCTGTCAAGTTGATGCTGCAGTCAAGACCACTGGGGGTCTGGGCCTTGGAGCTCTCGGATCTCTAATGTTGTTCAGGATGGCCAAGTGGCCTCTAGTCCTGGGGACAGCTATTGGCCTAGGACTGGCCTACAACAACTGTCAACAATACATCAACGAGTCCCTCAAGACGGCGGAGAAGGACAAGTGAGAATTCTGAGGTGTTGATTGATCTGCAATGTGTTTTGTTAAATTGAATATGAATTTTTGTCTTTGATATGAATAAAATCTTATAGTTCTGGAAATTGCTTAAAAAATGTCCTCCTAGAAGTCTATTTTAACATACCAAAAAGCCACGAGGGTGGGGAGTCGAGAAGTGGCCGCCATCTTGAATTTTAGGTGCCATTTTTAGGGTTTTCATAAATAACCCCCTTGAAAACTATCAACTTTTTGTATAGGCCTACAAATTAAAAAATTAAAGGAAATTAATTTTCCTGCAAGGAATATTCATAATGTGTTTCCCTATGTCCAACCATTCAAGAGATAATTACTGATTAATTTTAAATTTAAATTTTCTAAGGGGAAAAACTACATCTGTAAGGTGGATATTTCAGTTTAATCAGTCTCTAGGAGCATGTTTTTTTACTTATAGAAAGTCAAAGCTCCACAGATAGAACGCAGAAAAAGTTTATGTTTATGTGTTTAATGGGGAGGTTATTGTTAACCTTGATTCTACCATTGTGGAAGGGCATATGCTCTTCAATATGCCCAAAAGCGCCAACAATTGTAATTCTCTCTTCACGTAGTTGTCTCGAGAAAATCACGTTTGCAGAAAATAACTACGACGTTTCTGTGATCCATGAGAAATAATCACAAAGTTGCCATGGTTGAGGGAGATAACCACGACTTTGCCACGATCGCGGGATACGACCAAGATGTCGCCGTATTTGCAGGAAATGACCACGACGATGTTTTACTGTGAAGTCTGTGCACAGATTTTTGTATGCTATCTGGAGAAGAGATATTTTGATAATTTTCTGTTGAACTTAAGAAAATGACACACTGTAATCCAGTAGCTAAAACAATTCTGCATCTGTGCAATTTCATATGTTCCTGATAGTCCTTTGGTTGGAGTAAAGTGTGTAGCATACAAAACTAAGCTAGGTGTGCGATTTTACTGACTAATGTTATAAATGAAAGGGTGGAAAGTATGAGTCAGATTGCTGATACTGATTTTGTTGAGTTTTGTGTTATGTTTGTTCTACAATGCTATTATCGGATTGAACCAAATTGGATGCATGAACAGATGTTTTTGTCACACCTGATGATGGACTCCAGCAGGTTCAAAACAATAGAATGTAACTAGAGGACGCACATTGCTCCGCAGTGTTGAATTGTCATATCCCAGAAATAATAAAATTTACACAATTTAATAATGTTGATGTGATTTTAAAAAATTTTAAAGGTTTTATCTTGTCAGTCACTTAGATACCAAGTAAATGATAGTGATCGATATATGAATTTAAAACAAGTAAATATTATTTATAAAAAAAAACCAAAGGGACTATTCACCAAGAAAAACAATTTTTTTGGAGAAAGAGAAAAACATTTAAATGAGAACATTTTTATTTTACATATTGAGAATTGACCAGTCACGCAGAACTTGATACAAATCAGTTATACACATCTTGACAATACAAAATTCAAACAAAGTGTTTACACAAGTAATGTATTATAATCATAAATAAATAAATTCACTAATACAGTTCAGTTATGTTTACAAATCTAACCTAACACATGGCTTAACAATAACAATACAATTTGCAATATCACAATTACATACTTACATACTTAACAATGATATTGAATGAGTTTGCTTCAGTATTAAAGTTTTATTTTTACCGCTCTAACAGCATTGATAATAGAACCCGCTTTATCAAAATCTGATTAACGAATAACATTTGAATATTTGTATTATTAGTCTAACATTTTATGTTTTATATAGATTTTTATGATGTTTATACATACAAAGTGTGGATGTAGAAAAGTAAATCTTTGGTATTTTCTTTAGGCAAGAAACACACAAAGTGTAATATAAAAAATACAAGGAAATTGCTGTAAATCACAGCCTACACAAACCATATCTGAACAAAGCATGAAATCTCAGTGCTAAGAAAATATATGGTTTTTTTTAAATGCCATAAGAGTTATAATTTCATGGTTTGCTATGGTTCTCTAAAATTATAACCAGCACTTTGCAATCACATTTTTACAAGTTGTAACTGTTTTACGTAATAGCATAGAGATTTCCCTTCTTTATGGAACAGCTGAAGCCAATTTTATTGTTAGTTCTGTCCGATGTACTGTAGATGTCGTGTTTTGTTTATAATTTGTTTATATTATTTTAGGGTTAGTTTCTCATGATTTGTGCCTCACTGTTTGGTTATATAGATAGTGGACAAGTCATTGTTTATGATTAGATAGTTTTATTTGGTTAAACGAGGTTTTAAATTACTGAAATAGCAAGAAACGAATTGTAAACAAAACACGACTCTACAGTACACTGGACTAACAGTAAGATTGGCTTCAGTTGTTCCATAAGGATGGGAAATCTACTAAGGGAGTATGTTTTATCTACGGTGATAGATTAGGGATTCTATCGAGCTACTGACGTAGCCAAGCACAGGGCCTGATTAAGGGTCTAGTCGCCAGTAGGCTGACGTTTTTCGTGCCCCCCCTCCTCCCTACCACTACGCCTCCTCTCTGCCACCACTTTCAAAATTTTGAAGTATGAATACTAGTACTGAATTCAAAAATAGAAAATGGCCAAAGTCATTATACTACTATTCAGTTTATTTAAAAACAAAAGAAAACTGATCATAAATTAATGCATGTTTTGATTAGGAACTTTTAAAATAGTAGCAAATCGGTTGTTTAAGGAATGTAAAACATTTTGATTTAAAATAATGTATTTATTTTACATCAAAAAACCAAACAATAATATACATACTTTCTAAATTACCTCTGTTAATCACCTAGTCCTAAAACAATTTTATTAGGGCTTTTAGATGGAATTACTTAGTTTACATCATTTATCTGTATCTATCTGCAACAAAAAGTATCATTAAATGTTTTTACAATTCAATTATTAGACCTACTATAAATATAATGATTATGAAAATCGGCCGAACGCACCCTTCCCCGCCTCATTACCTACCTATGTGCACGAATCCTTTTTTGAAATAAAACATCTTTTACGCCCCCGGTCCTAACTTTAAGTCTTAGCTGTCCGGCATCCCCTTAAACACTTGGCTGACTGGCGCCCTAGGCTCCAGCCTGATTAGCCTAATGGGTAATCAGGCCCTGGCCAAGCAACAGCTTGTAAAATCTGTTAATCTGTGTTGTAAAATCTCAAAACGATTTTGATCTATAACAGATACTTCATCCACTAAAAAAGTTGTGAAGGAAAATTTACGCCCCCATTACCTATCAAAATCTATTGTCCATTGATAGGTTTGTATGCAGAAAAGTGTTTAGGCGCAGAAAGAGGGCATAAGTGGCTTAGGAGTTAGCAGGTCGTACACAGTTGCACAATTTGGCTGGCTGCAGGTGTTCATCAGTTCAAAACAAGACAATGGTTAAGGTTTATGAAATATTAATATTTATGAATATTTGCTTACTGTTCGGCGTTTTACGACTAGGATTTACTGTACTCCTATAGAGAGTATAGAGACCTCTCCTATCAGTTTAGCAATCTCTTGTTCAGTCACGCTGCAATCTGGATGCGTAATTTCTTCAATTTCAGTCACTGCCTGAAACGAGACTGGTGAACGACCGCAGCCAGCCAACACCATGCAAAACATTGCACACATTGTTATAATGTTTACAACCATCTCTGAGCTTCCTCTTCCTTTTTTTTATGTACAAACAGTACCAACAGATCTTCGTTTTGATAATATCAATAGAGTAGCTTTAGTTTTACATACGCAGTTACTCTAAAATACTATCCATAAAATTTTGTTGCAGTTAAAATTACTATTATTACACTTTACACAAGAGCAAACCCATTCAAATTAATTTCAACCAAAAGATACCTCCAAAATGAAACAAAGTGGCAACACTGCTTTGGTGTTTGGTGTAGGGAGGTTGGCGGCATTGCATCCCTGCTCTCAACGAAGGCACTGGCGATGAATCCGATTACAAACTCATCATATGTATAACACCTTTGAGTCTTTTGTAGTCTAGAAGTAAACGACTATTGCCAAGAGATCCTGCAATCTAACTGAAAGTCTACAAATTCAAGAACTAAATGCAAATCAGTTCTTCAACTCACTAAACTACGCTTTCCTTCTACGACTTATCTGTTCTAAGTCAAAGCAACTCACTATACCTGACCTAAGAAATAAAACTTTCCAATAAACTATTTATATAAAACAAATTCACAGCCATAATAATGGAACAATTGTTCTTTCAAGTTAGCATCGATGCGACAATATTTTGGAAGAGTTGACAAGTGTTTAGTTTTAGTTACATTTTAAATTCATGCAATTGAGTGATTGATATCATGATACACTGGAGAACACTGGATTTGTTGTGTTTGAAGATTGTAAATTTAAAAAAATCCTGACAAAATATTGTGAAACAATAAAAGACTTCGAGAGCTAAGAGCTGTTTTTCAGCAGATATGAAAATTACCTTAGCCAAAAGGTTAGCCAACGACATAGAACATTAGATTAGATTTTTACAATAATTCTAAGATGGGTGTTAAATAAAAGATTATAGCTTTGTTACTGATAAAGATATTATAGTAGCTGGTTTATTAGTCAAGATCATTTTATGTGAGCCAGTCACAGAATGCGCTAGTGTCTAAAATTCTATTTTCTGCCTAATTTTTTGTGCCTGCCTAATCTTATGGATCATAACAGTTGCTATTATAGCTCACTTAATAAAAGTCATTTAATAAAATAAATAAATAAATTCCATTAGTTTGACTTGATGAAAAAGTTTGTGTATTCAATAGAAATTAGTAATTTAGATAAGCACAATCTGTCGGTGGCTCACATCAACTACAACGATTTTGATTAAATTGAATGTCTAGTTGTATTATTAGTCAAAAGTATTACCTTTAAATGTTAGTGTGAATCCAAAATAAACATCTCCAGTGACTCTGTTTTAATGTTTTTCTTTTACTTTAATTCGTGCTAAAACACACTTTTGCCAAGATAACACAATTTTAAACTTTGGAAAATTTTATTATAACCATAAAATGTAAAATTTACATATAAATTTATATTGGTTTAAAAATCAAAACCCGAAACATTTCAAAGTAACTATTTCATTAGGGGGTCACAGTTAATTTAAATGGTCCTTTTGATATGTGTTTCAGATATTAAAGAATTACAACTATAAGCCCTTCAGCAAATGATCGCAACGAAATACAAAATGCATGTCTAAGATATTCTTAGTATTCCTAAAATAGCCTAATGTGCGTGTCACATTTTAAAAGCGAAATTGATAAACCGTTTCTTAAATATTTTCTTCTTGTATAAGTCAATGAGATTATATAAAGCCACCATGGACACACATACAACATAAAGTCATCAAACTTGTAACAAATTACTGACGTTCTGACGTTTCACCAAGCCTCTGTGTAACGTACGTCGAGCTCTTGAAGCAACGGCAGCTTCTGTTTCAACTCCTCGAAAGTGTGTGCACTCAGTTTGGTGCTGTTGAGATTAAGTTTGCGGAGATTGGTCATAGCTGAAACATTGTTTCTTGGTTGAATTGAAATAAAACTGTCTATTGAGGAAGTAGCTAACAACAACAATATCTTTAGCGTTAGACGAGACATTGATTGCAAAACAACAACAATATATCTTTTGCGTTAGAAGAGTCATTGATTACAAAAAAATGTATCCTCATCTTAAATATAGCAGGTACTATTAATAATTATTAATAATATTACTAACAAAGAGATATAATATTTCATGTCCAGTTAAAAACTCTTGAACACTGTTAAAAGTGAAATTTATTATATTAAGTTTGGAATTTTTTAATTTTAATTTAAATGTTTGGTTCAAACTTGTGAAAGTGCAATGTTGTTGAACGGTTTTATGCCGAGGTATGCTATGGAATAAAATGTAGTGTGTTTTAGGAATCAGTAAGTTAAATGAATTGCACATCATCATTTATTTGATTGAAAAGAAAAAAAGAAAAGTTTTGTTTCAAGATCGAAAATTAAGGGCTTTACATTTAATGTTAAAAATGGAGCTATTATGTTTTATTTATGTATAAAGACAAATGTGTTTTTTTTTGCTTCTTGTGTAAACAAGCTTGAGCTAATAGGCCCACATGAACAAGTTAAAAAAAACATCAAACTACTACAGTTTTGCAGTGTGCTCCTTCTCATTCAAATACGTTAAATTAAGGCTATTCAGTACATCCATAATTATGTCAATAATATTGATATCCCTTAATTGTGAGGCATAAAATTGTAGTTTAATAGTTATTTAGGCTACTAATAATGATTTCAAGAAGTATCCATTAGTTTTTTCCACCACCCTCTGAGGGTTTAGGGTTTTTTTTTGTTCCAACAAGGGTTTGATCATAAGGTGTGACAACAAGGGCGCCCGCAGGGGGGGTGCACTTGCACCACCTTGGCTGAAAAAATAAGAAATAAATTTATTACCCATAATGTTCTGTAATCACTTGAGTTTTAAGAAATGTATAAAGTACGTTCATAATGGTGATTTCTACAAAATGTTTTAAATTGAAGCTTAAATCAAATAAGTAGTTGACTCACAGATCTACTATTCTTTATTAATTTAGCAAAACTATTGAGAAAACAAAACCAACTTTCTTTGGCTGTTTTCTAGGCTTTAACTGTTAATTAATTTGTCTTTATAATTATTGTTTGGCTTGTGGATTTAACCAAATAAATTATACATAAAATCTTCAAATAGCTTATTAGTTTTTAATGTTTGCATAAAAAAAACTATGACTTACCCTCCTTGATGCACAATATACTATTTTGTTTTGGTTGGTTTCTACGTGTTACCAAATAGCGTAAAAATACGTTTTAAAACTCTATATTTTCAAAAATTTCTCAGGAAAGGCCCCGGACCCCCCAGGTGTTTGTTAGACCTATATATTGCACCCTCCTATTCCAAATCTTGGGGGCGCCCATGTCCTTAACACCTCAACTCCTTCTTGACCTTCTGGTTGATGATCTAAAACAGTGAAGTACAGGGTGCCAAAGAATAACTTCTTTTTTTCAAATGTTCTTTATTCGGTCAGTTTTGATGTTGTAGCGGAGCAATAGTAACACGTTCAAGAGCCGGTAACATAAAATATGGAGCATGCTTTTGTGAAAGGCCCACTTTTCAAAGGTTGTTTGTGATATACCAACCCAATGTGTTTTTCAGAATTGCTTTAATTAAGCCCCACTGCCCCCCACTTCATGCCAAAAATCAATATCGTTATGTCAGCCATGATGTTCTGTTCAGACATATTGCAAGTGTTACAAGACAAAAGTATTAGAGTGCCTTTTTCCATCCTATGATACAATTTAGGCAGTAAGAGATTCAATGCTGCGATCTCATTATGATTTGGAGGCAAACATGTTTAAATATCGGACTTTCAAAATCGTTCCCAAACAAAAGCTAGTAGGTCAAACAAGTAAAATGCTATTAAGGAGTTTACTTTTATTGGGATAAGGTTCAAATTGGTTGGATTAATCTACTATCTGAAGGTGTCCTACAGTCTACTACGATAGTTCCATAAGTTGATGTAAACTTATAGCTCAAAGCAGAACATGTTTCTAAGTAGTGTTCAACGATCTCATTACCTGTAAGAGCAGAAATGCCTTTGTCAGTGACCGAAGTTTCACAGAGGTTAAGGACTTGAAGTTTAGGCAAGTGTTCTGATATAGTAAGCAGGCCAGCATCTCCAAACTGAAACAATATTATTTCTTTTAATAGTCTTACAATACAAGTTGATTTTCAACTTTGTATTGTTTAAGTACAGTAACTTGTAGAAATGTTAAATCGTCATCCAAGGTTGCAGATAAGCCTTGTTGTGCTTCAGGTACATGTATTTTTTTTTTTTTTTTTTTTTTTATAAATATAATGATGAAAAATAAGAATTTTGGTATGTCCTAGACTACTAGCATCTTCAAACTTAATGCAAGAGAGAGGTGTTTTGATGTCTGGTATATCCACAAAATGTTGATGGGTTCATTCATTAGACCAATTTCTCATTGCCATTTAATGCAGGAATTTTTTTGTAAATTTTCTATCAAAATGTAATATTGTAGATTATTCTATGCCTTTCATAGCATATGAATGCAAACACAATACGTCTATATTTAACCAAAATAAAAAGTAACCTCCTCTTTAAACTAGGTAGAGTAAAAATAGACAAAACATGTGTTGTATGTAAAACTATTAATCTCACTAATGGAGTCAACTTCCACCCATTTCTATCGATTCATTATAATGACTCTTGCGTAAACACTAAAAAACAATAAAACCATTACCTGGGTAGCCCAAAGGTTGAGGTAGCGCAGAGAGGGAAGTTTGATGATGTGTTCGGCACATGCGCTCGTCACGTGCGTAAAGGCTAGACTAAGACACTCAAGGTTCCCGAGCGCGCCGCAACTGAGCAATCTGATGACATCACTGTCTGTAGAGCGACTGGGCAACGTCAGCTTACGAGGGCCTCCACGCTGTTGCTGAAACAGGCAGATGCTATTAGATTAAATTGGACATCAAGGATTGTGTGAAGAGCTATCTAGATCTCCAATCACCTTGATCACTTCAGTACTGAGCAAGATATTAATAAAATCGAAAAGAAAAATGCCCATTGGTTTATTCACAGTTTTCAGCAACAAGTTACAAATTCGAATATGAGCCAATTGTGTCTATCATGCAGTGAGTCTAGAGTAGTGATGTATTAATTTTAATTTTCAGGCAATGAGTCAACAACCTTGTGCAACCATCTTCTGACATTTAAAAAAATTCTTGAAAATTATGCAAATTGTTTCATTATCCAGATGGATCCAGTCCAAATTGATTTTGATGGATGAAGTTACATGTGTCTCAACTTATACAGCTTCTTCATCCATCTGGTGGCAACTGTTGGTGCTGCTAACAAAACAAATATTAATTTCACTTTAAGAGTAGGATCAGCAGTGGCGGATGTACGATATGGGCTAATGGGCGAACGGGCTTAAGCCTCCCCTCCCCCCCTTGGACTCATAAACTTACGCACTAGATAAAACGAGCCTCGCTCCTCAACTTCCACTTAATCATGCTAGATAAAACAAGCTCAATCTTTGAAAAAAATCACAATTTTTGAAGATAACGATAAAATAAATGTTGGGCATATAAACAGTTTTGCCTACATAAACTCAAATGGGCCGCAGATTTAGGTTTATATTTTATACAATCCTTAATTTATAATGAAGCTAGAGGACAATTAAACTATTAAACTATCCGACTTCTGATTTGTAGTATGTAAGCGTTGAGCTCACACGGATTTTGACAGGAGAGATGGACAAGTCCATTTGCATAATCAAAGGGGAGTCCATGAAGTTACATGTGTATTTAGGTTTTGAAAATGAAATGAATGATTTAGGTATATTTTGTATGAAATAAATTACATTACTGTATTTCAATTGTTTTCTTTAGTTTGAAAAAAAAAAACAATACTCACCTTAAATGGACTACCTGAAAAACTATATATAAAAATTTGTATCAAATGTTATGATTTATGGTTTTGATTATTAAAATTAACATATTTATTAATTTTTTTATTTATTAGAAAAATAAATCAGGCGTATTTAATCCTAAATAAAATTGATCATAAAGAAAGGAGTAGAGGAGAAATGTAAAGAACAAAAACCTTGTTACGATATTTAATATCACAGACTGCATTAAAATTGCGTTTTGAAGCCTAATAATTTCAAACATTTTACCGGGGAGGACCCCCAGACCCCCCAGCTGTACAAGGGGGTATTCCATATCCCCCGGTATTTAGCCCCGCCCCCCTACACTACATCCTAGATCTGCCACTGAGGACCAGAATAGAAGCATAAGTTCAGAGAGTGTTAAAAAAAGACAATGGTGATACGGTAAAGGGAAACTGGACAAAGGATGGCTAATGAACTTACCAAATGTGTGTGAATTTGTTTTATTTAAAGAAAGGCTCTAGGCCAGGATTTTGAATTGTAGAATAAGGAGGATAGCAGCTATCCCATGTAGCACAGAAGGTTGGGCCAACGTTGGCCAACTGTGGGACAGTTGGTCGATGGTTGGTTGGAGCTTCCACATCCAACCAACCGTTGTCCAACAGTATATCTCGTAGTTGGGCCAACCAATATTTACAACTGTGGACCAACATTGGTTCATAGTTAATGAAATACATTAATATGCATTGCTGGGTATCATACATCAAGCCAACCGTTGTCCAACCGTTTTTCACTCCGTTGGACCAACAAAAGATACTTTTGTTGGACCAACGATGGTCCATAGTTGAGTTTACACGACTTTCATTCTCTGGGTCTAGCTTTCACAACATAATTTATTATAATAATGCAAATATTTTTAAATTAATATTCTTTAACTTATTTGCAACAATTTAAGGGGAAAGAGTAATTAATCATATAACAGTCAATTATAATAGCATTAATAATCTAACGGTAATTATTAATCTATATTCAAATACCAGTATCCTCTCTAACTCCCCCCCCCCAAAAAAAAACTACTTATGATGCCTTAACAGATTAACAGAATCATATTATACTGTGTAGTACGGTATCAAAAGTTTTAAGTATTGCGACCATTGCAACTGTCGGCTACTCTTTCACCACTTGAAAACTCTCTAATTCAACAATCACAGATAGCTCAGTGGTAAGGTATGAGGCTCATAAATCGAAGGACCCGGGTTCAAGACCCGTCTGGGCCAAAAAATTTTGTTCTAGTTTTTTTCAAAATTTGTTTCTATGAACTATTTAATCAATTTACTCAACTAATAATTATGATTTTCATACTAAATCTTTATTATTTTGTGTGAAATAAAACGGTTGGTTGGATATCAGTTGTGTTATGGTTAGTTGGCCATCAGTATTTTTGGATGGTTGGGCCATTGTTGGGCAATGGTTGGTTGGGAAACAGTTTAAAGAGGTGACATTTCTACCGTTGGCCAACTGTGTGGCTCCACAATTTACCAATGTTGGCCCAACTATCTGTGCTACATGGGATAGCTTATCTTAGGCATTTTTTTAAACTCTCTCTACACTTGACAAAGTCCCAGGGGACAAAATATTGTGCTTTAGTGTCTCCTTCTATGTTCTATGATCAACCTGTACTTCTTTAAGGTAGGCTGAGTGATAGATTTGTGTGTTTATTTTTTATCCTACCGTATTATCACTACTGTATTGGAAAATAAATACAAACATGTGTGATTCTAGAGACTACCAGACAGTACAAAAATACAAAGTATGTTTAAATAAAAATAAAAAATAGTTAACATTATACAGAAAACCACATGATTTTGTAAAATACACATACAACCGACTTTACGACATAGTAGGCTACTTTACCAGCTCTTGCAGATGCCTCTGCCGGTTGCACAGGTCCTGATATGCAGCTGCGCCAGACGGTGTACTCTGTAGCGTTGTCACAACTGTGAGTCTCTGGTCACTTTCTCCAAGCAAGTCCCACTCTAGCGCCAGGCACAAGGTGGTGTGTGCCGCTGCACACTCACGCAGCGACAACAGCAAAAGCGGACCTTGCGACTTGGCTATGAGCGGTGTGACAAAGCGTTTACGCCGATGACAACAGGCCAGCAGTGTCTCCAGCTAGGAAAAGAATTAAGTTGAGGAAATTTGTAAATAAGCCTTGGATTTATTTTATTAAGGCTATTGTTTAGTAATTATGGTGGATGAATAAAGACTACTTAAGCAGACCGAAAATGAGGCAGAAGAAATAAATATAAAACAATATTAGATGGATTAGGCTAGGTTAGATTTCTACAAGCCCAACACACCGGTGTGTATTTTAGGGTTAAAATAAGTGAACGCTGGGCGTTGAAAGAATAAGGTCAGTTGGTTCTTTAGCCAGTATCATTTATTAAAAGTCCATTGACCAAGGACAGCTGGGTGGGTCATAAAACATTTAAAACATTTGGACTTTTCTTGGGATTGATCCGGTTACTTTCTGATTATTAGGTGAGCCCCGATCATTTGGTTAAGGTAATTAATTCTGCTATCTATAGTAGATAGATAAAACCACTAGGCCAAAAATGAGGCGGGGGAACCAAGTTTAAGAGAACATTGATCATTTTATGGGAGTGGATTCAAGGTTCAGAGATGTCAACCCATAGTTTACCAAAAGGACTTGGCACTGCACAAGCAGCAGGAGAACAGAGTTGAGAGGCATTGAAGCAAATAAACCTACTACTGAGGTTTCATCTTACAAATACATGTTCATTTGTGAGAAGACTTTAACTTTCTCCCATATGTAGCCTATAGGAGAAAGTATTGTTTAGGTCAGAATGTTTGACTTTGGGTTTTTGGGTGAAAATATTCGTTTTGGGTCTCCCTGAACCCTAAAAGTGGTTTTCAGATTGATGTCCGTGTATAGATGTGTAGAAAATTATGACTAAACCTGTGGTCCAATTCAAATCAAATCAAATCAAATCATCTTTATTCCATAGACACAAATTGTGAAAAGTACAATAGTGTATAGGCTGCGTCAACAATATAATACAACTTAAAACTAATCTAAGGTTGAGGCAAAATAAATTTATATGAAATTAGGTAAGTGGGTACCATAGTAGTCGTGGCGTCTCTAGAATTTTTTTAAACTTTTTTATATTTATTTATGCATTGATTTTTATTGGGTTTTTTAAAAAATAAAAACCCACAAAATAACAGAAGACTCAGATTTTTACAAAAACAGCTTGAATAGTTTTAGATTAATGTTATGGTCCTTTCAACAAAATAGGACAACTCCCAAGTGCTCCTCGTGTTGTAGGCCCAAACATTACAGTTCAAAAGTAATTAATAAACTAATGTGTGCAAATGTAGCGATTTCCTCCCCCACCCTCCAAAAATATCCCAGTTACTTCCACCACTTACCCATTATAAGGGGTTTTGCCAAGCTGATGAGAGAAATCACTGTCAGTTTGTTGATACTGTGTTTAGTAAAATAGGTTGAGTACATATTTTTATTTTTAGTAAAAATTTTCAACTACACTTTATATCAACCTAATAAACGCAGGTTGGACTGCTTATACTTGACCCACTTTTATTTAGTAGCATTTTTAATATCATATACACATGAGACTGTTTCTAGGAAGCTTTATATCAAGCTTAAGCTGAACTTATGTCCCTTTTGATAAATATATCAGAAAGACACAAAAAATCAAAACTCACAAATCATACTATTATCGACTATTTGAGGGATGTCAATAAATTATCGTCTCCAATGAGTTTCTGTCTCGGCGAGCTAAAATCTTTGACCACCACCATGTGATTTATCCATAATTTTAATGAGGGAACATGATCTATATATATAAAATCCAATGTATATTTGTTTGTTTGTTTGTTTGTCCTTTATGGACTCCGAAACCGCTCAACAGATTGTAATGAAACTGTCAGGCATTATTAAGCATTATTCAAGGATGGTTTGTGTGAAGTTTGGTGCAGATCCGTCAAAAGGGCTCCGCCCCAGTGGCTCTGAAGTTTCCCATGTTAACCTTATGAGTACTCAAATTTAAATGGAATTAAAGAATCTTAACAGCTGGTTCAACTAAACAATTTGATTCTGTGATGTTCAATAGCATTAAATAGTTAATAGGTTTACCAATAGGGTGCAGCACTATTATTTTTTTTTATTTATGACAACAGCTAATTTGCAACCTAAAGGGGAGTGAGCGTAGCTAACAAACTTCAACCAAGAGGTGAGTTAGCGTAGCGAACGATTTAACCTGAAGGCAAGTGAGCGCAGGGAACGAACTTCAACCAGAACGTGATTAAGCCATGCGAACGAGCTCATCTTAAAAATGAATGAGCATTTGAGATAAAACCACATTAGGACAGGAGGACGTCTGTCGGGCCAGCTAGTAATTTATAACGGGGAAGATATTAAATTCTCTTTCACATCGTTTTCGGTTAATATGACGTGTCTAATTGCCGTATAAGAGTAGGAACCAACTAAAATAGTAATGGATAAGAAAAATACGGTGTGGGTTTTAGATTCAAACTAGCTTGCTTGGCTGTAACATAGCTCGATAGAAATCTTGATTTACAAATGTAAATGTTTATTTAGGTGTAGAGGTGTGCGAAGCAGCAAAAAATGTTTGATTCGAAGCAACGGTTCGATTCAACAGATTTTCAATTTGAATCGATGCAACTCGATTCAAAACAATACGGCATTTTTCTATCCATACTTGTCAATAGAGTGAAATAACAATAATTAAATTTACCATATTTTTGAGTAATGCAAATTTTTGTTGATGTGGGTACTAGGCCTATCTATACAATTGAAATATATGCATGGTGAAAAATATTTATTTTCAAACAAATTTTACAAGAAGCTGTATTGCTCAAAATGTCAGTGAGCTGCTTTACTTGCCTACTTCACAATTTGTGCTTGCAGAATCATATTGTGGAGCATGTAACCCATATGTTTTATAATATCGATTTAAAGATGTGTTTTAGTATAAATAAAAATTTGTAAGATTTATTATACTGAAACTTTCAATTGGTTTACAATTATAAAATCAAAATGCGAGGATAGAATCAGACCTACAAACTACAATGCATGGCCGATTTACCAAATAGGCACGTGCCTAGGGTGCGAGGCAAATGGCTTTTTTGAGAGGCGCCAAAAAATTGGAAATTAAAAAATAAATGGTGGCTGTATTTGCGTGCAATTGCAGTAAATTGATAATCCCTCACGCCTGTGTAGACATCGTAACCGTCTCCCGCAGTTGCGGCAAGATGTTAATTATTTCCTGCAATTGTGTATACATAATCATCGACCGTCTCCCGCAGTCGCGGCAAAATTTATACTATTTCCGGCGACGTGTGAATATAATTATTTTCCTTGATCGCGGCAATATATGAACACATCACGCGGTCGTGAGGAGATTATCACCGTCTACCGCGAATGAGGCAAAATTCTTATCTTTTCTCGGGGTCGTGTGGACATTATCATTGTCTTGCATGATCACAGTAAAATTCTGATAATTCCTTGCAGCTGTGTAGACATTATTATTGTAACTCCTGCGATCCTGTAGACATCGTAATAGTCTCCCATGGTCGTGAAGACATCGTAATCGTCTCCCACTGTCTTGTAGACATCATAATCGTCTCCCTCTGTTGTGAAGCCATCGAAATCGTCTCCCACGGTCGTGAAGACATCGTAATTGTTTCCCACGGTTACGGCAAAATGTTAATAATATCCCGCAGTCATGTGGAGATCATTATCGTCTTCCAAGATCGCGGCAAAATTCTGACTGTTTACCGCGGTTGTGAGGACATTATCATAGTCTTCTGTGATCACGGCAATATTTTGATCATCCTTCAAGGCTCTGTATATCTCATTATGGTATTGCGCGATCACGGTAAAATCATGATCATATCCCGTGGTCGTTAAGACATTATCATCGTCTCATGTGATCGCGGCAAAGTTCTGATCATCCCTAGCGGCCTTGCGGAGATATATTATCGTCTCCGCGCGGTCACGGAATCGTCCCTGTTGTCATTCGCCATCGGAGTAAATTGACAATTCCAGGTAAAAAAAAATATTCACGCATAATTCCCGATTTAAAAAAAATCAAGCTTAATTCCTGGATTTCCCCGTCGGTGCTCACCCTGTTTTATATATTGCAAAGGGGCACTAGTATTAGTTGTGCCAAGTGCGCTGACATAGTCAAAAACGGGCCTGCTACAATGTATACATAGCATCAGACCTACAAAAATACCAAATTTATCAGTATAAAACAACAGTCTTACTAGTTAAGTATCAAGTAGGCCTAACCATTTTTCAGACTTGTGTTCTTTTTAGAATGATTTTGGAGTGACTTGTTTTGGCTATGTTTACAGTAGTAAAACATGTCTCACACTGCTTACACTTAACAAAAAACTTCTCATCATTTGCAATGTCAAAACAAAAAATTAAAACAATTAAAGCAGTCTTTACATTCAAAGAATTAATTAAATAAGAACACCTTCAAAAAGGAAACCCAACAGCAACGCACTCCTGTATTGCGGGTGTTGCATTGATTTTCTGCAGGCGTTTTTCGTATATGGATACCGCATTCTGATTCCCACATGAATCAAACAGTTTTTTGACTACCACTGAATCGAATCGCAATTAGATGCATCGAATTGAAATTTCGATACATTTTCGATTAGGTGAAGCCCTCATTGAAACAAATGTATAGCACACATTTAGACATATTACCTAGACTTACAAACCAATCACTTACTTGAACCCCAGACCACTCACCATTTTCCCCCACAGCTGGCCGTCGTCTATACAGGCTGCGCTATTAGGACAGAAGATGTCAAACCATCCCTCCTTACCCTCCCTCACTCCTAGAACCATCTGGTGAACCTCACAGTCTGAGCTGGTTCCTATCCTCTGGATAACAGGAGTCAGGTTCCTGTCACAAAATCACTCATGTCAAAACTAGTTCCCAACAGTACCATAACTACGACCAAATATGACTCTGTTTAACATGAGCAGTGGTGTAGTGGAGCGGGCTTGCATAGAAACGGCAAACATTTTGAGAGTGGCACAGACTGTTTGTGCACATGATAAATACTAATTTGGAAACAAATATGACACCTCTACATTTTTATATAAAAGGAAGCTTCATGAACGTCATAGAAAATGGAACTGTCAGATAACGTATTTGCAAAGATATATAAAATGTCCTATAATTGTTTTGCCATCAGATCTGGAAATATGCAAACCAACTGCTGAATATAAGAAGGGTTCAACTGGCTACAAGATCCCCGTGTGTAGAACGGGCGCATAAAAGACATTTTGTAACGTGCCTATTTTGAGGGGGGGTCAAACTAGCCTACTCCTATGTCTAGCCTATCCCTAGGCATAGCCTACCAGACCTAACTAAGGTTATAGGTTAGAAGGCTAACCTTAGTTATAACATCATCAGTAAAGTATAGGCATGATACACTGTTGTGTTTGGTATTAAATAAGTGTAGAACGAGAGTTATTAATACTGTATGAGCGTGACATAAACCTTATACAGTATTTTATAGCTTATTGACTCACCAGCGATATGTTTCGCAAGCTAGGGCTCAACCCGGCTTGGTACTTTGAAGAAACTTTCTACACTTAGTAAACCCGCAGATCATGGCCTTAGGCCAATAATCCGTCTCAAAGACGTGAGGAAATGCGGAGTGAATAATATAAACCGACAACTTGAAGTTAAAACTCATTGTCGTGTGAAACAAACACAACATAACCTACAGTCAACAACAACAACAAGCTCGAGTGTTGGAGGCTGCAGACGACGGCGGCCGGCTAGCTTTTTTCGGGTTAAGAAACAGCAAACGTTTCGGATCAGCTGAGTCCCCTACTTTGCTAGAGAGGGGAGCGAGAGGGATGATCCGAGGAACCCTCAGACGGCAAGCAAGAAAGTTAGATCCTCACCAGCTACGATAGCGATCACTCAAGAGCCGTACTAAAGTAGAGTACCGAGTTCGTAATAGTTTATTGGTGAAGCATAGTTAACTCGTGTGACACTTCAATACAAATTGTAAGTCTTATATTTCAATAGATATAAGGTAAACCGAGTTAATTATTGCCAGGGTGTAAAATACTAGTTAAATTTTTACTAGATTTTATATTTTCACTCCTGTTAAACCTATGGACTTAGGCAAAGTTGACTTGATTATGATGGTGTGTTAAACCCATAACGTAACGATTAAATATTACGAGGCAAGTGTATTTTTAATCCATTTTAGTAAGCCCAAAACAATTTAATCTCATCATATGAATTTATTAGTAGTAGCCAGTGACTACTAAGATTAGTTGTGCTAGTTCAGCACGTCCCGATCGACACGCATGGCGTGTTGGTAGTAGTGGCCTTAGGCCTGTGTTTTACGATGCTTTATGGTTTTAACGACGGGTTTGCCATAAAGCCTTTGAGATTGATGTAAACCAGAACTGGATAGTTCGTTTCGGCCTTAGTTACTTTATTAATAGTGGAGTTTGTTTGCTTCGTTGGAATGGCCTCCAACTTTAGCTATTTTCGTTTTAAGTAACAAGGCATTTTATATTCAGTCTGTCTGGTGATATAATCTCTGTTTAACGATGTTTGGATGGTTAGGGTCATGTGAGATAATCCGTGACTAACAGTTGAATTATTCCATGTTAAATGATTTGTATGTGTTCTAATATTTTGTGTTATGAGTTTACGACAGGTGATGAGATTGTTTTGGTGCGAATTGGATAGCGTTGGCCTATGGCGTGAAACCATTTGACGTCTGGGACTGGCGAGTCGGCGTGGACTCAGCGTGTCTTCGGCAGCTGTGGTAGTGTGTTGAACCTACCTTTGGTGACGACCATGGTACTCAACGACGCTTCAGCAGCTGTGGTAGCGTGTTAAACCTACCTAGAGTGACGACCAACTCACGAAACTGGAATACGCGACTCGTTAGCGGACGGAAGATCGACGTGGAGCACTCAGCTAGCCTACTACGATTCTCGAACGGCTGGGGTTGTGTGATAAACCAACCAGAGGAACTCACATCACGCTGTTGGCCAGCTTCGATGTTCTTCAGTTGATTATCCAGCAGCAGTGGTTGCGTGATAAAACAATCATTGCAATGGAGAACAACGGTCAGCGAGAAAACCGGGGCTTGGTCAACGTGTACCCAACGAATGTTGAACCGTTGTGGTGGATCTTGGCGTGGTGTAAACCCAACAAGCAGCTCACATCGGGGGTGGCACTCAACAACGACGAACGGACGGCCACCACGGGACTCACTGCGGCGGACGGGGCAGTGACACGGGACCGTGTGATAAACCGGATCCCCGAGGACTACCTGCGGAAGGCGCAAGTAGCTCACATCGGGGGTGGCACTCAACAACGACGAACGGACGGCCACCACGGGACTCACTGCGGCGGACGGGGCAGTGACACGGGACCGTGTGATGAACCGGATCCCCGAGGACTACCTGCGAGGGGTGCAAGTAGCTCGCATCGGGGGTGGCAAACGACAGCTACGAACGGACGGCCACCACGCAGCTCACTGCGGCGGACGGGGCAGTGACACATGTCCGTGTGAGGAACCGGATACTCAGGACGTCAGCGACGAAAACGTACGAGTAGGCTCGCCGGCTGTAGTACCGATATAGGGCGCGCGGGCTGGAAAACCCAGGCCGCGGTGAAGCACAGGCATATTCCCTGAATGCTTAAAAGTGACAAAAGTTACACCCATCTTCAAAAAAGGTGATGTAAACAAACCTGAAAACTACAGGCCAATTGCAATCGTTCCTATTATAAGCAAGGTTATAGAACACTGTATTGTAAACCAGCTCAATGATTATTTTGTAAGTAATAGTTTGTTTTATCCTTTTCAGTTTGGCTTTAGGCCTAAACACTCGACAATAGATGCTGTTGAAAAAGTAGTCGAATATGTTTTAAATGGCTTTGAACAAAAACTCACTGTAGGGTCATTGCTAATTGATTTAAGTAAAGCTTTTGACTCTGTATCACACAAAATCTTATGTGACAAGCTAAAGTCTTATGGAGTAGCTGATAAGGAATTGAGGTTAATTCAAACATATCTCCAAAGCAGAAAACAGATGGTTAGCTTTAATAATATGAATTCTGAATACCTAGATGTTACAGTAGGGGTACCACAAGGCTCTGTCCTTGGTCCTTTTTTGTTTTTAGTTTTTGTTAACGATTTTAGCTCTAATGTCTCTACTTTTTCTGTGTTGTACGCTGATGACACCACCCTGGTACAATCTGATATAGATTTGGTGGGTGTTCAGAACAAACTTGACATAGCCTTGATGGAGTCAAAATCATGGTTCTCTGCAAATATGTTGGCTGTGAATGAAGGTAAAACAGAGCGCTCTGTCCTTGGTCCTTTTTTGTTTTTAGTTTTTGTTAACGATTTTAGCTCTAATGTCTCTACTTTTTCTGTGTTGTACGCTGATGACACCACCCTGGTACAATCTGATATAGATTTGGTGGGTGTTCAGAACAAACTTGACATAGCCTTGATGGAGTCAAAATCATGGTTCTCTGCAAATATGTTGGCTGTGAATGAAGGTAAAACAGAGCGCTTAATTTTTACACTAAGGAACCATTGTGATTTAGATTTAGATAATGACTTGTTCAAGCCTGTAAAACTGCTGGGTATTACTCTGGACAGTAAACTCTGTTGGGACGAACATGTACACAACTTGTGCAAAAAACTTGCTCGTGTTACCTGTCTTTTAAGAAAACTTAAAACTTGTGTTAATTCTGATGTTCTTTTTATGGTTTATTTTGGTTTGTTTCATACCCATCTTATTTATGGTCTAAGACTATGGGGCAATTCACCATCAGCAAAAAAAGTGTTTGTTTGGCAAAAAAAAGCAATTAGGGTCATCTGTGGCCTGAATGAAAATGATTCATGCAGAACAGTCTTTTCTGAACTTAGCATATTTACTCAACCTAGTCTGTTTATTTACTATAATCTTATATTTGTTAAAAACAACACCCATATCTTTCAAAAAACCTCTACTATTCATTCTCACAACACCAGACAAAAGAGGACATTGTTAGACCTAGTATTAGACTTGATAAGTATTATAAGAGCCATAGTTACCATCAAATTTTAATTTATAATAAACTGCAAACCAATGTTAAAATGTTACCACCTAAGAAATTTATCAATGTTATTAGCAAGTGGCTTAAAGTTAAGGCATTTTATACCACTGAAGAGTACCTGAGCTGTGACCCTCAAGACATTATCTATTGATTTTATATACTTTGACGACACCTATTGTATACTGCATATTTAATGGTGAATAAATTCTTGATTCTTGATTCTTGACCAGGTGAGGATGGCTGAGCCCCAGCCTACGACGACGAGTGGGGGGGTGGAACGCACCTCAGCCTGTAGCCGTGGTCAACGGGTGAGCTCGAACCCTATGCTACAGGGGCGGGTTGAGTCGGCTAAGTTCAAGGTACCGCGACATCAGGAGTCTGTGTGCAGAACCAGACAGACACCCAGGACGGCGGCGGAGACCGACGGGGCCCAGGACTACCGGCTGTAGTCGCGATTGGGGCCACGATGGACACCCAGCCTGCAGTGAAGGCTGTAGTAGCTGCGACGTTAGGTGGGTGATCCGAACCCCGACTACAGCGGCAGGCGGAGCTCCTCAGGTACCACCACGACGCTGGGATCTGTGTGTTGAACCAGATTCTCCTGGGGTTACATATGGACATGTAGACGATTCAGGGATGACGACTAACGACAATGGAAGGTCATCACGTCTCACTGCGGTGGAAGGGGCAGTGACAGGGGTCCGTGTGTGAGCCGGATTCCCATACGATTACGACAATGACAGGGGTCCGTGCGGTGAGCCGGATTCCCATACGACGACGACAACGACAGGGGTCCATGCGATGAGCCGGATTCCCATACGACGACCAGAACGACAGGGGTCCGTGCGATGAGCCGGATTCCCACGATACGACACCAGCGACTAGTGTTCCTGCAACGAGGAGGACACATCTACGACTGAGACGACAGGTATCCCTGCAACGAGCAGGATTCCTAGACGACGACAGAGACAGGGGTCCGTGCGGTGAGCCGGATTCTCATACAATAGCCTCAAGCCCCACGTAGTACGTCACATTTATGGCGCCCGAACAAACTACGGCAACGACGGTATTCCTGCAACGAGCAGGATACATATACGACGGCAGAGACAGGGGTCCGTGTGAGAAACCAGATGCCCAGACGACAGCGGCGACGGATGGGAAGTATGACCCGAGTCTGCAGTAGCATCGACAGTGGTCACAACAGACCCAGCCTGCAACGACAGCCAGGTGAGCCGGATGAGCCCCAGCCTACTACGACGAGTGGGTCCGGACTACGGCGACATCTGTGTGATGAACCAGATGCTTGAGATCTCCGATGCAGTAAACCTCAGCCAAGGCGACGGCACAGCTGAGCGTGAAAGTAACATCTTGACGCGAACCCTGGAAGGCCAACCCAAATCTCCGTACTGAGGCCTATCCGGAAACTAAATGTGCTGTATAGCACGTGGTACTTAAACCTGGCATGTAAACTAGTGTTATATGTTTCAGTGTGGAAAAGTACGTCACAATGTAATTAAAATTAGAATAAATTAAAAGAACTTGACTTACTTGATGAAGTGGTTATTGGCAAGGGCAAGGTCAGGAACTGGAACCGGTTGTAGTAGTTGTGCAAGCCCCGGTCTCCAATCATCATATTCTGAGCTGTTCACAATGAAAATTATATATTTATAGACCCCTTATGATTTTTAATCATGGTATCATCGAACTGAAAATATACTCCATAAGGTATGATAAGAAAAACCAGAAGGAACTCAATCTCTGATAAGACTCATAGTGAATCAAAGGAAGTGAAGGAAGGGCAAGGGAGACAAAAGGAGACAGAATGGAAGTAGCAAACTACCAAAGAAAAATTCAATAATTAGATTATGAGACTAAAAAGCACTAACTTGGTTCTAAAGGATACAAGAGAAGGTAAGTATTGCAATCAGACTTGGGTGTAAACGTAGGCGCGCTCGTACTCAAATAAAACACACTTTTAAAATTGTAGAAAAACTATATGGCATACAGGAACCGGTGAGGTACTGTAGGACGACTGGAGGTACAAAGTGACATGAGTGATCATGGTGGTAGTGGTGTGATGGATCAATCAAAGGGGTTAATGTATTTAATCAAACCATATGACATCACATCCTATGATCTAACGGTACATGGATCGAGCTGGCAGATTAAATTCTAGTAGCAGTAATGAGTTGGAGTTTTAAGTTAATATATACACAACACAGATAGCGAAGATACAGAGGAAACAAAGTTATAAGACGATCGTGCGCTTTCAGCTCTTGTATTTTGTGGCGAAAATATACCTGTGACAAGCAAGCAAGAGCCCAACTGGCAAGCACTGTGCAGAAATTACTACCGCACAGACACAGGGTCTTCCTCAACTGTGAGCGTTGTAGTACATGAGGGCGAGGGGGCTGGTATTGGACTTTGTCCTAGACACCAGTCACTATGCTAGACACCACATAGGTGCATCATTGAGTGTTTCCTCTGTGACCATCCTTCTTTGTGACTATGGTAAGAAACAAATATTTATTTGCCATTCTCACTGGGTTAAATAAGTTTTAAAATGTATTAAAGCTGGCAATGACAAAAGTAGGCTGGATAAACACTTATTAAAAAATAAATGAATCTTTTGTTTTAATGTAGAAATAGTCCTAATCTTAGTGAATAACTAAGGGATGAGAGTAGGAAAAGCCTAGGATGGTTTTGGCTTGTGAAAGAATGCAAAAGAGGATTTGAATGAAAATGGAGATTGTGGTGATATAGGGAAGGAATGCTCCTATATGAGGATTAATGTGAATGGAGATTATGGTGATATAAGGAAGGAATGCTCCTATATGAGGATTGATGTGTAAAGTGCAAAGGTATACAAGAGACGTTTGAAGGGATAGGAAAAAGTAAAGAGGCTCAATCAACACCCAAACTAAAAAAAAAACAGAACGGGAATAACCCAGGAATATAATTAATAAGTATAAAAAGTAAGGGATATGAATTATATTCTAGGATGAACGTTACTCTTTCTAACCTCAAGCTTTACACTTCTTACATTTCTCGGAAGACTTGTAGATAGCAGTCAATGCGGTCGGCTCTGTCGTCTTGCAGTTGGTCGATATTCCGCTCCTCCATTATCGAGGAGACTTCAAAGATGTTGAATATTGCAGAAAGACAAACAGACACGAGATTTGGAAGCACTCTTGGGTGAGGACAGCCACTGCTGGGGCCATGGACACTGAAACAGCAAGATATTTAGTAGAATTCATGGTTGTAAGGGTTAACAAATTTTTGTGTAGAATTTGCAAATATTTTTTGAGAGCAGTAACGAACAAGAAACATGCGTACAAATGTTAAGTTAAAACTATGTGTTTGGGTTTAGATTTAGAGAGTTTGTACAGATTTTGAGTTTTGAGAGAAGGTCCCACTAAACCTACAGAGATCAACAAGACAAAAAATATTTTTAAATTGCCTACTAAAAATCGATGAAAGTTTCAATTGATCTTTTAATGTACCAATCAACTCAAATATTTCTAATTAATATTTGCAATTTTGAAATTTGTATATTTTAATTTGATCATTATTAATCTACTCTTATTATGATGATCAGCTTTGTTTGTTATTGCCACCAGGTTTGACTTATGACAATGTTAGGATAAGATACCTTACGTCAATAATCCTAGTTTAGTCTTGAGCAACTTGTTTTGAATCAACTGTTTCATTTACCAGCCTCATACCTTTTTAAAATTATTTGAACACATTGCTCTCGTTAATACACACATAAAAACGGGGTTACACCCTACGATAAAACATCCAACTTGTCTGCAATGAAAAAACGCTACGTTTTGTCTTCCTATGTTGGGCCTTGCTGTTTGGAAGTTTAGTATTTTACACCACACTAAAGTGTTTAAACGAACTTCCAACATAAGGATTTTTTTTCAGAAAACAGCTGTTTGTCACCAGCTTAATCAAATAGGGTTTCAATACGTACTACTGTTCTGTAATGAGTTTTACCGGACACCATCCAGCTGATTATACTGTATTTGGCAATGAGTGCTGGTTATAAACAAAAAATAATCTCTCTTAGAGGTTATGATGAGTAATGATTAGTTATAATGATGTTAGTCCTTTAGTCGGTGGTAATATATAAGGATTTGTACAGATTTTGTAGTATGGCGTAAAATATCGTACGTCACTCGTCCAAAATGTGTTTACCGGACTCATATGGAAATCACTCGTCCGGTAAACACCTATTTTCAGGACTAGTAAGGTAATATACTATTACAACAACTCAGCTTCCACCTTTGAGGCTTTTTAAGTGTTCTGTTAATGCCTCGCAATGCAGGAGTTACTATTGTGGTCTATGTGGGCGATTTGTCTTTCAACAAGTATGAAAAGGAAAGAAAACTTAGAGAAGTATTAATGTCGAAACTGGCTATTAAAAAAGGAGAACCCTCTCATGTAACTTACAGTAGTAAAAAAAGTATTAAGCAGTTAACCCTCTGATTAGAGAAACTACTTGAGGATGATTGAAGGTACACTTAATTTTTTGGACATATAGGAGTGAAAATTTAAAAACGTACGTTTTCAGGAAAGGCACTTTTAAAATTTGTTGTTCCGTTTTTTGAAACTTTTTTTATTTTCTTTATTTCATTGACATTTGAAGTTTCATAAAATGTCCATGGTAACGCAATATCTTTTGTGGTTTTTTATTAATAGAGCATCTTTGTTGGAAAAAAATAATTTTTGTCACGACCATCACGGACATAAAACTGAATATAAAAAATAGTTGTTTTGCTATAAATTAATTTACTTTTATGGCAATTATACAATAAACAGCTCACTAAGCTTTTGGTATATTTAGTCTTTCAAGAAAAAAAGAATAAACTAAAAAAATTTAAAAAAAGCCAATAAAATCTTTTAAGTTTGTATAACTCCGAAAAAACTTACCTGAGACCCGAAAAATCGTTTTGATTTATATAGGTATGCTTCTTTTGTGTATAAAACATTGAAATATGATGATATTTTAATTTTTGAAATTGTTATGATAGAAATTATAAACATGATGGTCAGGGACAAGCGGTACGTTCGTGAATTGTCTGGAATAATCTAAATCTTTCGAAACAATCCTTCAATTATACTGTTAGTTATAATTTATAATAAAAATATGTGTTTCAATTGAACTAAAGTGTTCAATTTACAATGTTATTTAAGTTATTGTCACGACCAAACACAGTATAATCCATAAGGCTGGATTGGTCGTGAAAAAACCCGCGATGGTCGTGAAACTTTGGTCGTGACATTACGTGTTATTTGGCTCTGTTCTGGTGGTAGCCCTGCACCTTATGTTCGTGGATACAAAGTGGACTTCTAGGTTTATCTAGCAATTGAAATATCTTATAAACAAAAATTAACACCGTGTCTACTTCATCGAATGACTGCGTACGGTCATGGACACACCAAAATTACAAAAAACACAAACTTGCCTTTATTGATCTTGTAATTCCTCTTTTCAACTCGAAACGACCGGCACTACAATCCTGACGTACACCCCGAACTAGTCTCTAAAACGAACTGACGCAATTGACGCTAGGCTTGCCACTGTCGTGTTCCAAATGGTCGTGACGCCAAATCGAGGGACAGACTTATTTTGTTATGGTAGTCAGTTTGCAATGACAATAAAATTATAATATGCTCCTTTTTTGTAAGTTTAATAACTATTGATGACATAAAAATATGGCTTTATATATTTCGGCATGAATAATTAGTCTAAAAACATCGTGAAAGTTGGAAAATGTACCCTATAGGGACACGTCATGGTCGTGAATTTTGAGACTTTAAAAATACGAAAAAAATACCTAGAACCTATTTAAAACCAAATAAATGTGTGTAACATGTTGCCTTCGTCCCAAAAAATATTAAAACACATAATAATAAACTACAAATCCAGTATCTACGAGGTAAAAGGCCAGGGACATGAAAAAGTACGTTTTTAAATTTTCACTCATAGTTTCTCTGTCCACCACTTAAACAGTTCAACTACACAAAATAACCTTCAAAATAAGCACTGTACACAGCAAATACGACAAAACTTAGGTCTAACTTTAAGGTCTCTTTTATGGACGACGTTTTCGGTTGGGCAAAATCACCAAGTGGAATCAAAACCTTAGCAGAGTGGTTTTGTTAGGTTTTTTCACTTGGACATTTTATATTAGTAGGATAGTTTAATATCATTTTTGTTCTCATTTCAGCCGGGTTTTTCCTTGCAACAATTTACCTTGACACATATTTCAATATAGGATTGAAAGTTACAATCTCATCAAAGAAGCTATCTTCAACATCTGATAAGTGATGTGATCGATCACTAGCTTCTCTTAAGCTGAATGGTTTAAGTTACCTGGCTTTGTCAAGTGATCCTTCTTCAGTATTACACTACTATAGTTTCGGACTTGAAAATAAGTCCATCTTCAGGTTCCCACAAACGTCAATAGGTCATCTAACCAATTTGGTTAGATTCGTCGATACACATAAAACACATACACGAACACGAAAAACACAAAAAACGAATATAATATAGTAAAAACTGGCCAGTGTAATTAATCACGGGGGACACGTGTGGCGACGCCGGAAGATGAGTCATGACTGCATGTCCACGTCCAGTATGTCCTTCACGTCCTCAAGTCCTTCATACATGCAATAAAGGACATTATATGAACACAATCGAAGAGTATGAAATATACAAATCGTCCAAACAAAATCCCCAATTTGTATTGAATAGTATAGTAGAATAGTAGAATAGTAGAATAGTAAGTAGAATAGTAATTTATTCAGTCTTTAAACAATACATTATTGTAATTGACATCGTCATTATTATTGTAAAAGATATAAGATGCAATACTTATAATTATTAAAATTTGACATGAAAATTCCAAAATATAGGCTGCCCTTATTGAACATTTAACAGGTTTAAAATAATTTTTTAAAAATAGGCAAACTTAAATTATGAATAATAGTGGGTCTTTCTTAAAAAGGCTAATGGTTATCACAGGTGTACAATGAACATAGAGGGACAAAATTACTAACATTATCACAGATGGAATGGTAAAAAAAAACATATCAAAATAGTGAACATGAAATATATGAAAATTAATTACAGTAATAAAAATCCTAGCCTAACTTAAAACAAAATTTCTAACATTATCACAGATGGAATACATGGTAAAAAACATATCAAAATAGTGAACATGAAAAATATGAAAATTAATTACAGTAATAAAAATCCTAGCCTAACTTGAATGAGAAGTTATCATTTGAGTCAAACATAATTTACAATAAGGCCATGAAACTATCAGCTGACGGAGACTACGGCGATAACACGGACCAAGGTTAAGGAAGGTCAGGACAGGAGAGGGACATTTACGTCATCCACTGGACGTGGACATGCAGTCATGACTCATCTTCCGGCGTCGCCACACGTGTCCCCCGTGACTATAATTACACTGGCCAGTTTTTACTATATTATATTCGTTTTTTGTGTTTTTCGTGTTCGTGTATGTGTTTTATGTGTATTGACGAATCTAACCAAATTGGTTAGATGACCTATTGACGTTTTTGTGAACCTGAAGATGGACTTATTTTCAAGTCCGAAACTATAGTAGTGTAATACTGAAGAAGGATCACTTGACGAAGCCAGGAACTTAAACCATTCAGCTTAAATTTAGTGATCCAGAGGCTACCTCACCATGAAATTAGAAGCATGTCAAGCAAAACTAGCCTACAATTACAAAAACGTCAAATTAAAGTTATTTAAAACCATTGAGAACATAAATTTCAACAAGAAATGCTTAGAACTAGGCCTAACCCCTAAGTACATATTTGTAAAAATTAGAAACAAATCCAGAGCCGCATTAAAAGCAAAGAAAACAGCACAAATTGTTTGGATAAAATCTGAAATCAAGAGTCTTTACTCAAAAAAAAAAGATTTACTTAATAAACTTATATTAAAAAGGCATCTTGAACATTTTGAACTGTTTACACTCCTCCCAACAACTCAATGAATTGGACACACAAATAAACAGAAAAGTTCAGTCTAAAAAGAAGACTCAAAATAAAAAGTTGAATGCCCTAACTGAGTCCCAATTTTTAAAAGATGTCATAACCTGCAACCATGTTTTTCATCCGAGGGTAATCAATAGCACAAAAATAGTATTTACAGATGAGGAAATGAGTTTGCTCAAC